CTAGACCCCAAAGGGCCCTTCGCCTCCTTCCCAGATGCCTAATACCATCGATCTTCACTGACTCCCTCCCTGTATCAACCTGGCATGCTTATTTCATGCCTATTTTATTGCCACAGTCAATCCCTAAATTTTGCACATTGTTGTGCAAAATACAGGTAGTCCTAGATTTATGGCCACAATTAAGCCCAAAATTTATGTTGCCAATTGAGCTATATATTAAGCGAGTTTTGCCTCATTTCATGACCTTTCTTGCCACAGTTATTAAGTGAGGTAACCTGGTTGTTGAGTGAATCTGGCTTCCCCATTGCCTTTGCTTGTCAGAAGGTCGCAAAAGATGATCACATGATCCCAGGTCACTGCAACTGTCATAAATATGAACCAGTTGCCAAGCATCCACATTTTGATCACATGACCATGGAGATGTTGCAACAGTTGTAAGTGTGAAAAACAATCATAAGTCACTTTTTCAGATCCATTGTAACTTTGAATGGTCACTAACCAAATGGTTGTAAGTCAAGGACTACCTGAAATGGACTAGAATGTCCTCGTGTTTGGGCTTCATTTTGATCTTTCAAGACTGAGCACACTTCCTTATTCCAGATTGCCCAACTTCAGAACAGATCCCAGGTGTATTGTCAAGTGGTGTTCTAATACATCAGGCAACCAGTCTGATCTTCTCCACAACCGGGTTTTATTTCCATGGATACAACTTAATAATGCTTGAATCTAAGTAACATTTACTGTCTCCATGTTTTCCTTTATATCTTGAAAATACTAGGTGTCCCCCCACCTCACCCCGCAAAAAAAGCTGAAAATCCAAAGGCTGAAAATAGAAGGTCTCCAAGAAAGTCAGGAACCCCAAGTCAGCCCTACAGCTGCAAGCACAGATTGAGCCATTATCAATGTTATACTCACAGTGTGAGCTGGCAATATTCGTGGTACTTTTGATACGAAGGACGATCGTATTGAAACTGGTTGGACATCCTTTATTTCATACTGCCCTGGGCCAGGACCTTGAATCTACAACGTAATAAAATGCTTCTTTTTTACAAGTTCCATATACATAAATAGTTCCATCACACTGTTGTTCCTAGCATTATGTAGTCTTAAAGACATTGCTAACGTAATCAACATTTTTACTCAGCGCAAGACAGCTACTCAATACTTGAAATACAGTTTGGAGGAAGGAATGTTTAGCTACAGCTATAGCGTTTCTGTACATGTCTGCTTATTTGCCCAAATATTTGGCTGTGTGGCTGCCTGTGGACAAGGAAATATCAAGGGTGACAATGCCCAGCACTTTACTTTGAGAACTTTCTTAGAGCAGGATTTCTCAACTATGGTAAGTCTAAGATGTGTGGACTTCAGCTTCCCTGAATGCCTCATCCAGCCACGCTAGCTGGGGAATTCTGAGGGTTAAAACCTCACTTCTTAGAGTTGCCGAAGGTTGATAACACCATCATAGAGCAATGCACGTTGATCCCTGATTGAGGGAGAAGCTTCAGAGTCTGTACTCTTGAAGATGGTAGAACAAGAAAGAACTGAGCCCTATGCATTGGTGCCTACTCTCATTCCATGTGGATCTCTGCACGACAGTCTCTGCAGCAAACCACAGTCATGCCAAAAGGATAACGAGTACAATTATGTAATCATGAAAATGACACAATTATGTATTTGCATCAGGACCTCTAATGCAACTACATAAAACATGGTTTTTGCATCATTCATGTTTTCTTTTCCCCCTCTACCCTAGAGATGCCCGTGTCTCTACCATACAGAGAGCCTAGCTATGAGAATGTAGAAAGGGATGAGAAATGGAATGGTCCACTTAATTTATCCCTGATTGCCTCCCTGGGCATAGGAACCCAAATGAAAAGAGCTGTTTTGTTCTAGGAAGATTAGTAAGAGCTAAGAGCTAAGTAACACTGACTGATTTTGACAGGTTTGCAAGCCCCTGGAGTAATTACAGGATATCAGCTTTTGGCTTGCAAAAACAAATAACCATATTTTAAAATGTACAAACAACTGACACCAATCTTTTGCTGACTCATTTGCTAACAAAGGCATTTGCACTGATCAATCTATTCTCAACCACCTGGAGACAAAAGTGACACCAACTAGTAAAGCAGTAATTTATTTATTGTTATAAGACAAGAAATAAATCTATTTATAGTTTGGAGATAGGCTGATATTTGCCTGTTGTTATTTCTGTGTTCCTATATTAGCATCTGTCATGTTCCTTTGAACATAACATTCCTGCTTTCGTACATATTTGAAATAATCACATTTTCTGTGCAGGTGTGCTCATACCTTTTTCCATTGGGGCAACTCAGTTTTATTCTGTTTATTCAAGATAAAAGTTGAGGAGGATTTTCCACGCAAATATTTCTGAAATTTTCAAACAGGCATAACAGTGTGGCATTTTTTAAAAAGACGCCAATGGAAAGTGAATCATAAGGAATTGTCATGGATTGTAACAACAGATAATTTAAGAATCTTTGATAAGCATACGTTGCATTTTAGGTTTTAAAAAATCATGTAGCTATAATAAAAAGACAAAGACAAAGACAAAATAGAAATTTTCAGGACTATAATATTATAATAAAATATGAATAGGCCTATCAAAATATAATACAGGTTGTCCTCAGTTAACGACAACAATGGGGGTCATAATGTCCATCACTAAGTGACACAGTCAAAAAGTGCAATGTTGCGTTACTGCATCGCTTAGCAACATCAATTCTAGCATTTTCTGGTTTCAGTCATTAAGCGAATCATTGCAGATCATCAAGCAAAGACATCACATGGTCACAATTTGCGATCTCCTGCCAGCTTCCCCATTGATTTTGCTTGTAGGAAGCTAGCAAAAAAAGTCAAAAATGGCAACAACATGACCTTGGAACAATGTGATGGCTGGAATTACTGAAGGATCCATTGTAAGTACCATTCAATTCAATATCATCAGAAGTTTGAACAGTTGCTGAATAAGTAATTTTAAATGAGGACCACCTAGATGTCAGTATAATGAATACATATATAATGTACAACTTCTATTTTTATTCTTCTATCAATTGTAGAAATATATAGTTTTTTATAATTAGCTTTTCCAAAATGGTGGCCTCCAGATCAGGGGTGAAATCCAGCAGGTTCTGACAGGTTCTGGAGAACTGGTAGCGGAAATTTTGAGTAGTTCAGAGAACTGGTAGTGGAAATTTTGAGTAGTTCTATGAACCGGCAAATGCCACCTCTGGCTGACTCCAGAGTGGGGTGAGAGTGGAGATTTTGCAGTATCCTTTCCCTGGAGTGGGATGGGAATGGAGATTTGCAGTATACTTCCCTTGACACCCCCACCAAGCCACACCACTCCCACCAAGCCACACCCACAGAACCGGTAGTAAAAAAAAATTGAATTTCACCACTGCTCCAGATGATTTTGAGATAAAACTCTACCACACAATGATTTTAACATATCTAAAATTTAAAATTAGAAGGCATGTGCCTTGGCTGAAAGAGTTAAAATTCCTCAGCATACTTCATGGAGTATATCTGCCACAATTTTCCCCTCACTGTACAAAGTATCTTCACCTACCAGATATATCTAAAGAAGATCCAAGGAATGTCAAGCAAGGGATGAGGAAGACAATTAAAACAGTACTTTGGCTCAAGAATTCAAGAGAGGTCCACATATGTTCTCTTTATTGTTGATTGTATGTGCTTACATTAATAAATCTAATTATTCTTTGGATTTTCCCAGTCCACATATGGTGGTCCCAGCATTCCTCTATTTTTAAGCTACTTTTTTAAAATGTCATTTTTTTTCTCCCTAATCCACCTTGGAATATGTTTCAGGAGAAAATAATGGAAAATATTGACTTAATAGAACCTCAGTGAACTTGAATAAATTTTATCTCTAAAAGCAAAACAAAATAAAAGCAGTGGTTAAATGTTGGTTTGCTTTGCATCCTAAACCATCTTCCTGCTATACCTGAGACAGAATCTACAAACAAAGTTCATTGCAACCCTATCTCTTTATGCAGAATCTCCATCCTGTCCATGCCTATCCCAAAACAATGGCCATTTATTTCCAACACAGTGAACAACACATGCAAAATCACTCTCTGGGCATCAATAGCTTTCACCTGCAAAGAACACCCAGGTTGCAGCTGTTCCAAGGCAGGAAAACACTAAGACGTCAGTTCCAGTTCATTTGTTGCAAAATATTGGATAGCAGCTGTATCAATAACTCATTTAAAGAGTAGTTGTTTACATGGAACGGCTCTTCTGTCACAAGAGGCCACCTGCCACGAGGTCATTAATGAGATCCTCAAGGATTTTCAAATGAAAGGTTAACATCTATTTAAAAGCCAAAAAAAAAAAAAAATCCTCAGACAATTCACATTAGTTTGCTGCTGCTCTTTCAGAATAAATTCTGATCGGCTACTGAAATATGTATAGCTATTACAGTAGCTGATCAGAGTTTATTCTGATATGTATACATATACATATTTTCTTCCATCATAATCCTTAAAAAAATGCTAAACTGATCTGGAAAATAAAAGAACTAGGCCCTGGAAGTTAAATTTGTCCTCTTATTTTTCCAAGGCTTATGACCTGGCTGATATCTCAGAATTAACCATGTATTTAAAAAACTACAGGCATTTAAACCTTATCCAAACAACAAAAACAGTGATATGTTGCATTTTTAAACAAATATCATACAAGCAAGCATAGCTTTCTTGAAAGGAAAAAGGTGAATCACATCTCCCAGGGAAGAGGCCTAGCCTATAAAGCCTATGAAAAATACAATATGTTTTCAAGCTTGCTGACAGCATCCTTCTAATTGCATAAACACTATGGTGATCATGCTTCTCCCTAAATGCACCTTTTTGCCTTGATTCACAAGTTCAAAATAGGGCCCTTTCAACCTGACAACGATTGTTTAGAACTCAGTTGATAGGTGGTAAAGCTGATGTAGACGCAGAACTCAGAGAATGGTTTGAGAAAGGACCTGCTTTTCAGAGAGTATGTTCTTACACCTTGTCTCTTGCTGTGGCCTCAGGGTGAAAGAATATTCTGTTCTGAAACCACACAAAGCTTTACTAAACCTATTTATAGGATACAAAACTGCGGTGATTATGCACCCAAGCAGCAACAGACTTTCTAGCTTCTTCATTGCAAGGCAGAAAAAAAGTTTGGGATTCCAAACGATCAGATAAATCCAGCTACAAAATTTGGAATTGAAAGCATGAGAGACATTGTTGTGACACAACACATGGAAAAAATTATACACATGTTCCTCAGTTTTCAACAAACAAGGCCTTAAGAAGTATATACTCAATATTGTATAGACATATTGCCTCACCTCAAGTAGAATCCATTGGGTGTTCTTAATAAAGTATCCATGTGTGTTTAAATATGTAGACAGACCCCAAGGAAGTATCCTGATTAAACATCAGGATCTTATCCTGCATCTGACTCCTTGCATAAATATTTGTGTGCTTGGAGAAGTCCTTCCTATCAAATCTAATAGATATGTCAGAGAAGGGAGGAAAGAGGCTTAAGTCCACTGGAGTTGGGAAGCTATAACAAATTTGAATAGCAAAAGCACTTAGTACTTAAGACTTATGTTAGATTGGGTAATGGATAGGCACACACAGGCTTAACAGTAACAACAGCTCTTTATTGAATACAACAAGTGAGAACAATCCAGCGAAGGTTGAGTCTGACAGCAGCCCTTTTATAGGGAGCTGTCAGACCCTTCGACCAATAGGATTAAACCTCTGTTCCTGCTGGAACAGAGGACCTTGGTGGAAACCACTGTAGATAGGGTGAATATCTAACAACTTATATACTGCTTCATACTGTTTTATAGCCCTAAGTGGTTCAGAAAGTCAGCATATTGCCTCCAATAATCTGGATCCTCATTTTACCGACCTCGCAAGGATGGAAGACTGAGTCAACCTTGAGCCAGTCAAAATTGAAATCCTGGCAGTGATCAGTGAGTTAGCCTGCAATACTGC